TTGTTATTACTGAATGTGTTTTGGATGGAAACTCAATGGCAATGGTGAGGCTTAACAATGGATTGATAATTGTGGATGATTGGATGCTTAACTCAATATTGTAGAGGCTTAGCTTTAACTCATCTGGAGACGGTTTCTCTTTAAACATGTTGTCCTGCTTGAGTCTAGAATCCAAAAATATCAGGTCAAAATCCACTTGCCCAATAAGTAAGAATAAACTTCAGAGAACCCCAAAAGATAGGAAGGATGAAAATTACATTTCTATTTTATTATGTTTACCATTGACGAGGCAAAGGTACTCTATGCATTGCAATTTAAATTTTCTTCCTTGCAAGCTGCTTCCTTTTCTCTCTAGCTCGTCCTCAATTTCCTATTCCTTTTATTATTTCGACAAGTCAAGTCAAGTCGAGTTAGGACAGAGCAAATTCAGTGTAATAAAAACATTCTGCCTTTTTTTTATCTGAACATCTACATATAGTGGAGAGCATCAGCAGCACACAAAAAATAAAGCTTTCTATTATTTGCTTACTGGAATGTGCACATACATGACGACGGTCCATTATGAAAATTGGAATAAATTGCTATGCATCAGATGGTGTACATTATACATACATATTTTGTATTCTATGCTTTCTCCCATTTTCTTTATTCATTCTCATGTCATTTTATATTTCTAAATGTACCGTAAAGCATAGCTTTTGTATGTATGACTGAGAGCGAATTTTCAGAGATTTAGAAATGCAAGTTTAGGTTAAAATAAATTTAAATTAAGAGTGAAATAACGAGCAAGGGATGAGGAATCTTAGACTGTTGGAGATTAATATATATATATAATGTGTGAAGGGCCCAGCCTTTCAGCTGGAGGCACTGCGATTCAAATTAGAACAGAATCTATTGTACCACACCCTTTAGACCTACAGTTTATAGTGGGATCCGAACCACTTGCAAGCTCTGTACATTGCAAAGACACGAGTACGTCATAAGACCTGATGTACCCTGCAATGTACCTAGTCACAATCCGTGTGCGCAAGATGCCGTAAGGAAGTCATCCAGATGCTAGTATATCCTTGTATACCTAGCAAAGGAGGCATATTCTATGCCAAAGACATCAATACTACACCCAACACACGAACCGAGCTTCGTAACTAGAACGGTGAAATGGAAAAAGAGCTTCGAAAATTAGACATGGTTGGAGATTAAAGTTGTTGAATCTAGAGAATTGAGTGGAGCTGGTAAACAGCTAGTTCCATGCAACATCTAAAGGTACAAAGTGTCCATTTTGGAGTTATACAATGTCAATACTACTTCAAAACTAAACTTAAAGATCTTCAAGCTGCTGTGACTTCCAAAAAAGTCTAATTAGCCAATTTTGAATTAAGGCATGTCCAAATTCACCACAAAAAGTTCTAAAGTTCTCAAAAGCACTTAAAAACCACTCATAAGGTGCAATATAACCTAAAATTATGAAGAATTTTCAATTTCCAGCACAACTAAAGAGCACTTTAAAATCATGGTAAGCTCATAAGTTTTCACTCCTCAACAAAAAAAGCTACAGATAAGATGTAGATAGAAAAAAATTCTGACATTTGCTATTTTCCGTTCCATTTTTCGACTCTACATATCTTTTTTTCCTCTCATATGTAAGGAAATGTGAATGTGCTGTACGGAATGTGACAGTATATTAAACGTGTACGTACTGTTGAGAACGTATATAATAGAATAAAGATGAAGTGAAAGGACAATTGGGAATTGTTAATCGTATTGAGGGTATAAATGCGCTTACTTCTTGCCTCAATTGCAAGTAAATTGTTCATATCTCATATGTGCTGTGTATTCTGTGTTGTGAAAATATTTTCATGTGCTTAATTTTGCATAAAGTAAACGTGCTGGTGCAGGAAGTATGACAGTCTGGGGAGAATGAAAGCATATTTGTTTTATTATTTGCAAATTGAAAGCTTTAAAAGCTCTGAAAATTCTTTGTTCTATAGAAATACAATTTTTAATGAGAAAAATACAGGATGAAATGAAAAAATATTCTGAGTTTACAAACTTGATTACTTTGGCGTGAAAAATATGTTGCGATGGTGAATTTTGTAGTTTTGAGGTGAGTTTAAAGGCTTAATATTCATTTAAAACTGTTCTTGCCACTTTTCTTGACACATTTCTTTAAATTTCAACTTTCAAGCTGTAATTTAGAAGAATTAATCTTAAAAACAAATTTCGAAGTGAGAAAATATAAACTCAAATGTTTTCAAGTAAAATTCAAATATTCAAAATCCGTTGAACAAAAGAAACATAAATTCTATTCAAATTCTTAAGTTTTCCTAAATCAAGTACAGAAGTTTTCTCATCACGATCCACTTACTATCTTCACATCATTTTAGCACATCTCATCACATATTTTTCAATTTATTTCATCTCACACAAGTGTCTCAGCATAATACAATTCCTTCATTTACTACAAAATAAATTTATGTTCTTGACAACAAATAAAAACCCAGAAATTGCAACAAATGTTTCACATCCTCATGCTACACAGCAAATTCTTTTAGTTTTGTTGTCTTTACAATGCAATTCTTTCGCTCCTAAATGGAAGCAATTCATCAAGCAATTTGTTGATAATTGGAGCTTCAAATTTCTCATTTCTCACTTCCCAACAATGCACTGCCGCTTGCAACAACAGCGACTGTTTTAAAATTCAGTAGTGTTGCAGCAGACGGGAAAAACTATGAGTACAGAAATTGTTTTCAATTCATTGCGGAACATTATCATAATGAAATTGCATTATCATTCATTCATTCATTCCAGGTAATTTAATTGCAAATTTTTCATTTTTTTTATATTTTTTAAATGAATATTTTTAGACGACGAAATTAAAGTGGAAATGCTTAAAAGATTATTGCGGTAGATTTGGTAAATGTTCTGCTTACGTTTGATGAATTTTATGGGAAGCTTTATCTCGTCTGATTGGCATATTAATGCATTATGTTGTAAATTGCACTCGGATGGGTAATTTGTGAAATATTTAAAAATGTAATTTTATCGACAGAGGTCCATTGATGCTTGAAGTTATTGAGTATCGAAAAAAGTAATGCAGCATAAATCAGATATGACTGGTTTTTATGGGATGTGCATTTTTATAAACTATTAAATGGTTACATTCTGTTTTCTGGGTTTGTAAGCTGCTAAGTCATATTCTAGAACCATTTCATTCTTAACGTGCATCCATCTCTAGTTCATCACAATAATGTGCTATTTTTATGCACAAAATTCTTCTTTTTTCCTCTCAAATTCATATTTTCATTGTTAAATTATTCAAAAGTACTTTGAGCTGTTTAAATAATCATAAAAATGATGATGATGATGATGATAATGATGATGGTTGAATATTTGGGAATAATTTTGAATGCTTATTAAATTACCATAATTATGCTACATCGTCTACAATTCATTTGGGAAAATTAAAAACAAAAGTTGTTGTTCAGCTTTTGCTATTTTAAGGCAAATTTTATGCGAATAATAGTTGGAAAGTTAAGCTTTTGGAATTGGAAAATTAAGCTTTTATGTTGTGATGTAAAATACACATGTGAAATGATATGTATGAATAACATTCGCAAAGTTTAATGCAATCGAGTGACAGAATAATTAATGGACTTGATCAGAAGTTTTATTTTAATTAGGAAAAGGTTCGAATCCCACTTTGACAGAAAATATAATGTGGAACTCTTCATTGTTTGAGGCAATGACATAGCGAAGATAATTTAAATAGAGACGCAGTCATGGACACTTTCTGGAAATCAAGGTTGTGGATTGGAACAAAATATGATTTTTCATTATGCACAATTGAAGGAAATAGACACAGAATTCTTTTTAAAATCACAAAATCCATAAGACCCCTCAAACGTATAATAACCTTGATGAGCCACTGAGTTTAAGTGCAAACCTCTTCAGCAAATTCCCACATAACCAGTAAAATACATCCCATTCCTCAATAAATCCCAATAAGACTTCACAATCCAATTTTTAATTTTCAATTATTTCGTAAAAACAGGAACAAAAACCTGCGAGAATATGAAAAAAAATGTGAAGCAATAAAAAATCAATTGAAATGATAAGAGCATGGAAATTTTTTCATCACGATTGCATTTCGGTTATTAAACAATATTGCAAGCACAAAAAAGCACTGAAAATGAAAAAAAAAATTAATTTAAATAATTTTATTTTATGTGAATGAAATTCAATAAGCGAATGACATTTATTGTACATTAATTGTTGCATGAAAATGAACATTCTGTTGCTTTCAGATGCTAAAATAATGACTTTAATTGGGCACTCAAAAAGACATTAATTGAAGGTACAAATGTTACAGCTTTTTTATTGAACAAAAAAAATCAGACAAAAGAAATGAGTTGGAAATTTAATTTTTAATAGCAGGACTGTCCAGAGAATCATTACTGATTTCCACAGGCATGTGCATAGTCTCCATGAAGAATTTCAACAACATACATAAAATGTTGCATGATAAAAGCGCATTTCTACAATTTTCACATAAGAAAGACCGCAAAAAGACATACAGACATTAGAGAGACGATTACAAACCAACATCCATAAAGACAGGTATACCAACAAGCTGACAAACATTACTTTACAGGAATTGCATCTAGAATATCGATAATTAATTAATGAGTTTCAATTAAAATGTTTCCAATAAATTTCCACGACTCTCCATCCAATTTCGTTCAGCTTATGAACATAATAGGTTACAAAGTTTTCCAGCTGTAAGTCCATGCACTAAAATAGTATTTAAATTGACGGTAAGATGAGCATGTAGCGTTGAAAATAAACATTATTAACATAATTAATTTTAAAAAAATTCCATTACATCGCAGGCCGAGTACAGCAGGCAATTGTAGAAAGGAACAACAACATTGCAGCTATAGAAACGTGAGGTTTTATCAATAATGAAACCAACAGCAACATAAATTCTTTTTTTTGTTGTTAAATGGACTGCGTGGCTTGTGCCGTGTAATTGTTCTGAAAAAATACTTCCCGTGCGAGAACAAAAAATTATGAAATTTATTATCAATGAACAGGAGTAAGGATGATGCAAAAGTGGAACTTCCACCAGTCAAGACAAATGAGGCCAATTTAGAGGAATTAAATAAAAAAATTGTCGAAATTAAAAGGAAAATTGTCCTTTCAGGTGAGTCGCAATATATTCATTAAGTACGCGACAAGCATAAGATGAGAAAACATCAAAGCTTACAATTTATTTTGCTCATTTTCATGCCAATGACATTAATCAAATTTTCCATTTTTTATATTCAAGAGGGTCAGAAAAAGGCGAATGTTGAGGAGTGGGTAAGTTTGCTTTTTTTTAAATGACAAATATCTTTAGGGAAATATAAAGGTGTCCATCAATGTCTTAAAAGTTTGTTAGATTTTTTGTTCTTTTATTTTTGATGTGGAACTTTGATTATAAAAGATCCAGTGGGATTTCTTTAACTTTTTTTTGACAGTTTTAATGTTTACTTCTGAATTAGGGATTCTCTTGATTGTTGTTCATTTATGACATTTGACTTCAATCTTAAACAAAACTATGATCCAGTATAGTTTAAGTCAGAATTTAAAGTATTTATGGAACCAAAATTTGAGATAAAGTCTTAAGCTATGATCCAGTAAGGTTTAAGTCAAAATTGGAACTAAAAACCAAGATCCAGTAAAATTAAGTACATTTCAACATTAAGTAGAATCTTAGTCTTAAACTATGATCCAGTAAGGTTTAAGTCATGTTTGAAACTAAAAACAAAGATCCAGGAGATTTTAAGTCTTGTCAAAAGCATATAATAACTTATGATAAGTCAGAAATAATATAAACAAGAATTATCGTTTGTTTAAATTCACTACTTCCTCCCTTCAATCATTTTCATTGATGAATATTATGATTTTCGATTTTCCTTCCTCACAAAAACTTCCTTAACCTCTCATCAAGACATTGAACCTTAAAGCAATCTTTATAAACAAAAACATTTCCCATACCACTCAGATCCAGTCATCTGTTCTATACTTAACCTCCATTCATTCTCTTTTCTTTTGTAGGAAGCTGATAAAAAACAACTAACCGAGAAGATTAATGAACTGAAGAAGGAAATAAAAAGTCTTACGTCAAAATTAAAATTTCTCCATAATCCATCCAAGAAGAATCAAAAGCTCGTCCAACAAGACTCGTCCATTCAGCAACAAAAAAAGCTTCCATTGCCAAAAGGAGCAAAAAATTACGAGGATGGACTGGACATTTTAGATTTGCAAATTATTGACTTGAAAAAGCAAAATGATTTATTTTACGCGAAAATACAGAAAAAGCAGGATGATTTGGATAAGCTTAACGCAGAATATCAAAAATTGCTAACGTATAAAAATGAGAAAACATCACTAGCAAAAACAGATAGACCGCCTGAAACGCAAGAGGAGGATCAAAACAGGAAGGTATATTTTTTTTTTGTTCTCATTCGTTTGTATCTCCAGTGGCCTGTTTTATTTCACATGCGTTTGATATTTTTTTTTTATTTGCATTTACTGGCAAGTACAAATTTGGATAGTTGTTTATGACTTTTAATTTTGCGAGCATGGTTACTCATGGTTACTCATACATGAGAGATATGAGCAATTCAAGTTGAGATTGGTGTGATTTGGATTGTGGTGGATGGAGCGCTTCTGATTTGTTTTTAAAAGGTCTTAGTGTCTCAGTGTTGTCCGAACTGTGTACAGCAAGTACAATATCGTAGGTTTTCTGTCTGGGCTACCTTAGTGACTATCATGAGTGTGTCACACAGCTTTAGATCGCATTTATGATGCTTACCCTAGCGAATCCTACTACAAATCAAATGACCATCATCATTCTCAACGACTTAATCCAGACAATCCGACAATACACGACCACATTCAAAATTCACATCCACTGCCAAGAATACATTCACCCAAAATTGTATTTCAAGCTCATGTTAGACTGAATAATAATTCAAATTACGAATTTTAATATTATTTTTCATGTAAATTTATTCTACATGTACACATTCTCGGGGCTACATGTTATTTTATATTTTTCATATTCAGCTAATAACTCGCTTAGAGAATGAGACTCACAAAATGGAAGTTCAGTGGAATGAAGCGGAACACATTCGTAAAAAATATCGAGCAATCAAAAATTCATTGATGATGGATTCTGAAAAGTTTGAGAGTACATTGCTAAAAATGGAAACATCAATGAAGGAGCAACAGCAGGAGATAAATAGATTGCAAAACGTCTATCAGGAAGCATTAACAATGCGTGACTCCACAAAGTCGGTGTTGACAAAGCAAGAACAAACGACAGTTGCATCCAATAAGACTCGCTTGCGACAAGCAGAAGAATTTCGTCGTCAAGTTGAGGAACGAAAAGCAGAATTGGAGCGATTGGAAAGGAAAATATTTGCTGCTGTTCCGGGACCTGGGAAAATCATTCATCAAGAGAGTGGTGCAAGTAGCGGAAAGATGGATGAGGAAGATGCAGCAATACGCGAGAGCAAGGCATTTATGGAAGCTAGTTTGAAACGAATCATGGGAATCACTGGTGTTACAGTTGCAAATGAACTAGTTGACAGATTTTTAGCACAGCGTGAAGCTAGTGCACGATTAACCTATTTGAGAAATGTCACGGAGCATGAAAAGAAACGTTTGGAATCGCAACGAGAGCAATTGAGTTTGCAGCTTGATGTATTCAAATTTAGTGATAATCGTGAGAGTGAAGTGTAAGTATGGATATTGTTTTTATTACTATAGTTATGAACTTTGGTTCGTCGTTCATGTTTTTTTATCTGTAAAAGATCTCAGAAAAATTACTTCAAAGACTTTACAAGCATTCCAAGAATTTATCTTCTTACTTAACGTAAAACTTTTTCTAGACTTGATATTCATCCTTGAACTTATTTCATTTTTCCTACTTTTGCATTTTTTCCATTTCCATCTACAACAATAGCAATCAAGAAGAATTGGAAAGAGTAAAGAAGGATATTGACGAGGAGAAGACACGAAAACAGAGCTTGGATGTAGAAGCTGAACGAACAATGATTGTTTTGCAATCGATTAAAGAGGCACTTGTCGAAATGTTATTAAAGCTTCAAGAGCTGGATGAGATGACAGCTGATATACAGACAAGAAGAAAATTGGCTAAACCTCTTGGCTTTCCATTGCCCGACCTTGTAACCGGAAATATTACAACAGAACAAATCGTAAAAATTTTAGAAGAGAAAGTAAAAGTGGGTATGATTGCTTCCGGTCAATTGACTGAGGGTGTCGATACAACGCTTTCTGAAGAGGAGGAAATTGAGGAACCCAAACCGGCAATTATGGACAGATTAATGGGTTTCAGAGAAGACGAAGATGGTGAGGAAGCTAAAGTTATACCAAAATCACCATCAGTCCTTAGTTTTGGCATTGATGAGAAGCCAGCCGCTTATCCACAAGTTTATTCAAGTTTGATAGCTGGCAGAAGCACAGGATTAGTCAGCTCAGCATCACCAGGTGCCGGAGTTGGTGCTGCTTCTGAAGAAGAAGCAGATGTTCCAAGCAGATCATTCCTTAAACGACAGGCTAACTTAATATTGGATGCTAAATCCCGCAGAAAGTTTAGACAGCAACAGCCAGCAAGGAGAAAATAAAATTAAGGAAAAAATAAACTTTTTTTAGAGATTTTTTTATACGTCAAACTTTTAATGAACTCAATGAGATTTTTTGTCTTACCAATATTTGTGGATAAAGCGGTTTATTGTAGTTAAATTGACTTCATGGTCGCAATTTTGGATTTATTTTGGCTTCTTTTAAAGTTTTTAAATCGAAATTCAGTAGATTTTTTAGTATTTTGTAATCTTTGCCATTATTTGGATGAACATAAGCTTAATTTATTATTAAAGTTGTGCTTAATAAAATCAAAATTTTGAAAAAACTTTTCGAAATGGGAAAATTTTTGTATTGGTTTGTGTCTTGACTAGAATTATGTTTGAACTAAATTGGATGTTAAAAAAGTTAAAAGAGTAGAAATTCGACATCTTTTACAGCTTCTCAATAACTTCCTTACTTTCTTAACTTTTTGTGGGGTATCAATGTGATACACAGAAAAAAATCTCAAATGAGTATATAAAATTTGCATAACATTTAAATGAGCATGTAAAATGATTCTTTTTTAACACAGAACACTTGCCTATAGACTAAGGATCTCTGGATACAATTTTACTAAGCTAGGATTTGTCGATAACGAAGGAGCAAAAAAAATTGTAAACTTTTTAAAGCTTTTGAAAAAATAAAACTTTTTAAAGCTACTTTAAAACTTATTTGAAGTTTTTTTTGAAGGATTTTAAAGAGAATTGACAAACACGTGGAGATTTAAAGAATGATTGAAATTGAGACAAAGTAAAAAGTTAAAGAAGTTTAAAAAATTTTGTTTTTATTTTGTTTTCAAATGAAAATAAATTATTAAATTTAAAAGTTTTCAGATTGCTTTTAAATCTCATTGGTAATCGAGTGACAAATTAATTAAAAACTTAAATTATTATTGCGTCCACAAAATATCAAAAATCTATTCAGAACATAAAATATTCTAGATACATCATCGAAAATGACTTTTGAAATAGAAACTAATTTCAAACTAGCTTTTTTAGTTGTTTATGTTTATTTCACAACACAAACTTTTTTATTTTATTTTTTTTCCTTCCATAGCTTCAAAAGAGCACTAAAAAGTTTCCCATAAAAATTAAATAAATTTCAACAATTTGTTGAAAAACTAATTTCTCTGTACATCCATTTGCTGCCTTTGCCTATTTCATTTTATTTGCTAAAATATTATTCTGAATTTTATATGTTTCATGTAATTTATGAGTTTTTAATTTCGAAAGCTTATGAAATTGATTCAGAAATTTTTTGTCTTCTTCTTTCCTCAGATGTATCCTTCTGCCATTTATTATTATATTTTTGAATAATTCTGGTATGAAGCTAGTTCGGGATGACTTTTAAGAGACGCAGTTCAAATTAGGGGCCATTCACTCATGAGTCATGACTGAAATTCCTGGAAATCCATTGTGTTTTTTTTTGAAAAATTATCGTTAATTTCGGACGTCATAAGTTGAAAAGGGTAGAATTTAAATCATTCAATTTAGAAATTTTAATCAAGCATTAAGTTAATGTGACAAAGATTCTTTCTTCAACAGTAAGCTTCAATCTTGTTAATCACAATCTTCAGCAATAGGCTCATGTCATCATTTTGTCCTCAAAATTCCATTCACAAGTATTGTTCATATTTTGCAAAACTTTTTAATCCCATCCAAAACTTTTATTTATTTTTTCTATTCTAATTTTTTTAAAAACTTTTCATTTTGTTTATACAAAAGTATAAGCCATAACATAGAGAAAATGACTATTCGGAACGATTTAAATCTCATGTCATTAATTTAGTCATCGGAAAATTAACTGTCGAGAGCAACAAAGAATAAAATAAGCTAGTGAGATGTAGAATGAAGATGTGGGGATGAAGAAGTTTCGATAAAAAGATAAAAGAATGAAGGTTCCTTGGGGAAATCGAAATGAATCTGTGTAAGTTTATGAGAAGTTTTGAGGAAGTTTTAATTTAAAATTTTTGTGTTTTTGGTTGAAATTTTCAAATTTTGGTGCCAAAAACATAAAGTTTGATTTTCTGAAAACTTTGAATTTAAAAACTTTAATTTGAAGCTATTTGATTCAAATTAAATCTCTCAACTCTCCAGAAATCTCCACAAGGCACAAAAAGTTTAAAAAAAACCTTTAAAATCTTTCCATTTTCAACATACAAAAATCCTTGAAAACTCAAAAGAAAAAGGAAGAAATTAAAAAAATAAAAAAGAACAAAAAAACTTTTTAAAATTTATTACGTTCACATCGAATCTCTTCGCTATCCTATCTATATCAAGTCAGTAGCACACTGGATGAAGATACTCAACAAATTATCGTGATCCTTCAAATGACTCACATAAATCATTTTGAGGGGGCAAAAAAAGAAGAAAAATTAATAAAAATAAAAAAAAGGTTCAACACGCAAAAAGCAATTTAGGCTATTTTTTTTGTGTATGTGCGTTTGTCGATAAGTCACAATCTAACTGAGTGATGTTGTGATCGAGTCCGAAATTACAATACATATATATTGAAGGCATTCATCACGTGGGATAGATTATGGGAAATTGAGTTGGGGAAATGATAGAACAAAATGAACTCGGTAATGAATTGCTTGACTTTTGGCGCATTTTTCTTGTTTATTAATGAAGGTTTTTAAAGGATTTGCCTTAACTGATGTGAATTGGTGCTTTATTCTTAACCAACGAGATATTTGACTCATAGACTGACTTCTAGTTATCTAAGTTCAACAACTTTTATAGCTTAAAACACTTGTTCAGCAGTAGACAATGTCCAGATGATATCCCAATCTGACATCAATCCAGCACAACCCCAATCTTAATTCACAGCTAACCACTGATGATACTTTGCTTTTATTTCACACACTTACTCACTCATATTGGGCGAATCGACATATTATATCAAAAATAAAGTTAAAGCGTACATAAAAAGCAAAAGGTTTTGTAATAATATAGGAACCGAGATGAGACACAAGTTAATGTTGCTACATAATAAATATATGACCATTTGTGCTTTCAAAAAAAAAAATATTTCACTTGTGTGTCACGTAGAAAAGCCATTAGAAAGTTTGATGGTGAGCATTCCTTCTTCTACATGCTCACTTCCTTGTTTTCTTGAAAATCTTCTTTCGAAGAGCTTTTCAAATTTGTTGTAGAATCTTTTTTGTATTTCTTCGTTTTATTACATAACTTAGTTTGTCTTCTTCTTGATGTCCCAGTTGTAGATGAGCTGGATTTTACGTGGAGAGGAGCTTTTATGGGAGAAATGGTTGATGATCAACAACATAAGTTAGTCAGAAGACATTAGTAAAAGGATAAGCATATTAAGGACCTCATAAAACTTCTATCAATGCTTTAGTTATCGAGAACAAAGATGGAATATTATTTAATCATATTTTTATCTCAAAAATATTGTAATTTAAGTTGTGAATTGGAATTATTTTTAAAAATCTACTCAAAGTTAATTTCAAACCCCAAATGCGTATTCCCATCCCCAATCATCATCAGATTTTCACACTTCTCACATGTGATTCCAAATATAACCACCAAAATGGCATTATGCCCCGTTGAGAAATGTTCATTACAAATAGACATGATATTGTGTGTACACATTCGCATGTGTATGCACCATTCTTTGTATAATATCGTTATATAAATAAATTCATTCAATATTATGTTTGTACACTTATCAGACTGAACATATATATCCAGCTTTTGTTTCCTCTTCTCTCATTCTTGTGGAAATTGTTTTTGATTCATGCGGATTTCCTTTAAACAATTTATATTCACATGAAATGTTTACCGGAACAGGATCTCATATATATAAATTCGCGTAATAAAGAACAGTTGGATACGTGCATTGAACTCATATAAAATGTTTTAAAGAATTGCGGAGTTTTAAATTTGAAGCTTAATATTTGGATGTATTGTATTGACATCAGGTAAGCACATAAAAGCATTAAGTGAAATGGATATGGTTGAAGGTTTTTTTGAATATGAAGATTGTAAACATTGAGTGAGGTTTTACGTCATTTGGGTATATATTTAAAGATTTGTAAGCGATTTCAATAGTATAATTGCTTTTAATGCTTGTTAAGCTACAAATTTGAGTTTTTAAAGTTTTGGATCCAATTGTTAAGCCTCAGATAGCACCAGAGAGCTTTGCAGAGGACAAATTCCTGTCTTCATGTGTTCGTTCATATAAATTAGGATCCATAGCTATCAGAGTGTAATCAAAAATTTCTACAGAAATCCAAAGCTTGATTCAATTCGAATTGATTCAATTGGAATTTAAGAATTTAAAACGTGTAAGCATTAATAAAATAAATCAAAATCTGACCAGCAACACATAAAGTATATAAATTATCACAGATTTAATTCCCATATTCAGCACTTTCTCATTTTCATTCCAAAATGTTGAGCTCATCGAAATCTCAATCTTCAATCTCAATAAAATATGTTTAAAATAACATAAAAAAATATTGACAATGATATTTAAGGATCAAAAGGCATTAAATATGAATCTGATACTTTAAGTTTTCAGAGCCTTCAGATTGAGTTCATCTGAAGATTTCTTTTTTCCGATGAAAATTTCCATCCCAATAATTTTTATTTTGTTGAAAAACATGTTCGCTCCTTTTTGCCGTAGAATTATTGGCGAATAAAATTGCCATGAAATTTAGTAAAAAAAAAAGAAGGAAGTAAAACCCTTGAAAATTTATGGACCTTCATAAAATCATTGGATATATATAAAAAAATTTATATTCCCTTTTCCTTATTCCGATATCTTTTCCTTTCCATCTCCTTCCGATATTTTTTTTGCTTTTCTCGTTCGGTTTGTAGTCTATTCCAATTGAATAGAAATCAGGAAGCTCTGGTCAGAAAGTTGTAAATTCATTTCATTTAATTAGCAAATTTAGTGAATAAGTGGAATATGGTGTTGAATATTTAGTAGAATTTGAGGAAGCTTATGGCTTTGGGTATCTACAGGATGAATCACTGAATGCAATTCAGATTTACTCTTGTTATGAAATAATAAACCATACAAGATTGGACAAAGATAGTTTTTTATGGCATGAATAATTTTTAGATGATTTAGAAACTGCTGATCAGGTTTGGGGCCATTCATCTTGTTTAT